AGGACAATAAAGCTGATTACTTGAGACGCTACCTCGAACCTGTGAGTAGTAAGAAGAAACGGAAAGTAGTTAACGACATCACAGTGAAATACATCTCGTAAGTCTCCAGAATAAGTCAATTCTTCAAAGTGCATTGTGTTCAACACCCAAACTATTACTATATAGTTTCTTTTCTCAGTCTAGAAGTCTGCAGCCAACTATGCAATTAGGAATAATATTCCCTAAGTTTCGTAGATATACTCATTGCTCAATCGAATGTAAGTTCAAATAGAAAGTCTGATCCGTATACGGATCATACGTTTGCAAGGAACGGAGCACTGAACGTGGCTAAATAGATTTGGAGATGTCTTTACATTTGTCTTTTAATCCACACTAATTTGCCCTTAAATTTTTGACATCGTTAGTCAGGTTAACCTCATTAAAATTGGTTTAACTTCTTGACAATTCTTATCACTTGACGAGAAATACTACATAGAACTTCAAATGTATACAATGAAATATCCGACAGGCACTCCCAGTTTTTCAGGCAAAAGTTGAAGTTACTTCAAAGTCTTGTCAAGTGATCATGGTAATGCGTCTAACATGTATTGATCTTTGATGAAGTAATCACTGAGTTTATTTCAAGTCACGACTTCCACCCACTCTTATGCCTCTTCGTTTCCATATCTGTAGTATTAGTTCCTCATGAAAACTACTAGAACAATTATCATGGCCGTGGTGCATGACGTCACAGCAAAGTTTGTATCTGGTCATGAACGTTTCAAATCACTTTCATGTTCGTCGATCCAAACGAACATCACCAATCATAGCTTTTCGAAGAATAACATCATCCTTTAAAAGCACTCTGGTGATCCGTATCTTGTCGGTTGTCCATTGAAATTAAGTAGGAAAGACATTCAAACAGTAATTTTACTAATAAAAAGGCTGCTCCCCGGTTTCCAATGAGCAACGTATTTATCTTCTCATCGTTTGAAGTCGGAGTTGATAAGATTTTACTTCGTTGTTGAGTTCCATAGGTTGGTTTGATCAGAATTCTACCACATAGATGTATATCGTCGTTGATCCCAATTCTAGTTGTCTTATCTCAAAATCCTTAATATGGTCATGCGTTTAAAGTCACTGTTATGGATGTTTTTACGATAGTGAGTGGATTAGACTATTAGAATAAATGCTCAGGGAGTTATCCCCTATGAAAACCACCCATTGCAGTTGGCAGTTTTTTCAGATGGTGGGATTTTCCAGGCGGAAGCTGAAAACAGTGGAGCTATACTGCTTTGTTGTGAGTAATATATGGACTTTTACGCGTCAAAGCGCTTTATTCAGAAGTGTTTTTTCACACTACCAGACGTGTTGATCTATAAGACTCCAGGATGCTAAACTAGCAAAGATCTGTGCTAATTTCCTCAACCAGGTGTCAGCTGTATAACGTAATATATCAATATCATCTCAAGAACCTTCACTGAAACAATTCAGTATGCTTCCATCAGCGAGTTCGATTCCTCTTTTCAATTACCCAGTTTCCTTAAGATGTTGGCGAGTTCAATCTTTTATTTTGCAGCAACCCGAAAGAAGCATTCGTTTAACTGTTATGAATCCTTTCACCTAGAAAATTATTCTTGAGAACAGTACGGATTTATGTCAATGTCTTATTAATATATTTTTGTTTGTAGTCTCACGTAACCATCATTTAGTTTGATCTGCTTTACAACAGGTGATTGACTTTAAAATTGTTCATTTTGAAACGGTTTGCTCTGATTGTCAACCTACTGTCAGATTAAGTAAAGCAGTCCCTTCATTCAGATAGTGGTCTATATTTATATTGTTTTTATTTTAGTGGTGATCTCCCCGAAACTCTAGATGCATTCTATAAAACAGATGCGGATGGTTTTGAGTTTCCATCAGATCCATCATTCGTAGAACCATTACCTACAGTGGTTCGACAAGCAACCCTACTCAAAGACAAAAAGTCAAAACAAGGAGACAAATCGAGAAAGGAGGCAGAGTTGGAAGCCAGATACGATGTGTGGAATAAAGGGTTTGTCTAGTCGTTTGAATCAGATACACCTTTCTTCCCTAACAGTATCAAAACTCTAGAAGAAACCTATAATAAACTTAAGGAACAGGAATATGAAAGTTCAAAACCACTGGCACGATATGCTAGTGATAAAGATCTTACAGAACATTTGAAGTCACAAATACATTCTGAAGATCCTATGGCTCAGTATTTTGTCCGGAAATCAGCTAAGAAGAAGCGGCAAGAGAAAAGTCATAAAAAGAAAAAACATAAGCGTAAGTCCATTTAAATGATGTTCGGTGGGTATACAAAGTTTATAATTATACTTCTTGTATATCTATCTGAACTGACCACTTTAAAGGAATATTGACCACCCAATTCAGTTCCCCACTGGATTGTCCATAGTGATACCTCAATCGGAGACTGTGCGTAGTTTGTAAATCATCCCCGACTTTCTTAAATCGATAACCCTCCGATGGGACATATAAATGGTCTTGTTGATGTAGGTTGTATGATGTTGGAAAGGTTGACTTACAAAGTTATGTAATCACAATCTGAAAATATGATTGACATATCTTGCGTTAATAACTCAACCGTTTAACATAAAGGCCAATAGTAAATGAGAGTAGTAAAAGTTGGACAGAGATCGCAGTAACACCAAAACATAACAATAGGCTTGTTGATAAAATAGTTATACATATACGCCACATAAGTCACTTCATTTGTGTGGACTGTGATACTGCTCAGGTGCCCTGACTAAAGCAGGTGGTTTTCTAAGGGGCCACACATGGAGCCTTCGACTTAGTGATTTGGTCCACAAGGTAATGGAGCAACGTCAGGAGATGCAGTTCCGTGTAAGCCGGTGACCAATAATTGGTTCATACACCATTTTTCCCTTCAGGATCCTGGAGCCGATGTGCACCATTGGTTTGGAATCATGGTTTTCCAACTCTAGGTGGATCTTCCATATCCACCAACCCGGTTAAAAAACCGGACATTCGCTTTTCGTCCCCTCAATTTCGTAAACAACAGTAATACCGCGAGAAGGCAGTGAGTAGGACTTACCTGGCAGTGGTTGTATGCACGTGGCCATGTGAGAGCATTTCGAGAGGGAGAGCAGACTCTCCCTACCCTCGGCCGTACCAGGGCATTTTGGACCATTGCGTCACTTACTGAATCACTGTCCTGTACTTTGTTAACTTTTATTTATCCTAAAGCATCTTTCAACCTTTTTTTAAAATGAACTTCAAATATTGCAAAACTTCTGCATTCTCGTTGAGTCGGATGCTTTTTTATGGTAGATATACGTTTGACCTATTAATCTCTCGCAAATGGCCTTCTCTCTTTTTGTTCACTTATGAAGAAAAAGTCTAACTTGTTTATAATCTATAGCATATGGCTATATAGATTGTATTAACGTTTATTCCAACCTCGTCTATTTCTCTGCTCCTAATTCAAATTCCATACTCTGATCAATAAATTTCAAGATTTTCTAAGGACTCGTAATCATTTGAGCAACTAGTTCTTTCGAAGTTTTGCATGTACCATCGATGTACTTTTTAATGATAGAACTAATCAGTTTATTTATCTATTATTTTGATACACCGTTTTGTGTATGGCTATCTATAGATTCATCTCATTCCGACATCTCACACTCTTCCCAATCAGACGATAGTGGTGATGATGAAGGAGAAGATGATCGACCCCGTTACAAAGGTCCTGAACCACCTCCAAATCGTTATAATATATGGCCTGGTTTCCGTTGGGATGGTGTAGATCGTAGTAATGGCTTTGAAAAAAAAATAGTTGAAGATCAAACTCGCCGACGAGTTGAACGTGAAATAGCTCAACGCTGGGCAGTGGAAGATATGTAAAATAATAACTTATATTATTATTGTTTGTAAAGTTTCTATTCATTGCACGATGTACAGATGTATTATGATATTATATATTTTCACATTAGAGATTTTTAGTTCAGTCTTGTAAGTAAAGCGTTGTTTGGTGTGCCGCACATAATCAGCCTTTTTGTGAGATCATGAACTGATGATTGTTCACTTTAAGTAACTTATTTTCTTATCAATCCTAGAAATATAATAGAATTTGTCACTTATTGAGCTTCAAATGGTTATTGTCTGTCAGTCTGATCTATTCTGTGAACTCTTATTGCTCACTGTTATGTAGTAACTTGATTACGCGAATCATAAGAACAGAAACAATGTTTCGAAGTAGGCCATAGGGGAAATCGTACGGTATCTCCCTCCGAAATGATTATTTAACTCATCTCTAACAGCTGAGAGGAAAAGAACAGTTAGTCTTTTTGCAACCCCATCTGTTGACGAAACGGTGCAAAACACATGTTTGTCACTAAGAAATTCATAGGTGTTATTGAGAATAAGACGCTACGGATCTCGGTCTTGAAGCGTCACAATCAACTTCACGCACATGTTTTGAAAAATCAAGAAAGAGATTTTTTACATCATTTTTCTGAATAGTTCTGTTTGAACTTTTGGAAGCTTTTGCATTTCTCAGCACCCGGTTAGTTATTATTTTATTCAAGTTAATGGTATAAGAGGTTAACGTCAACGTTTTGTTTGTTTTAGTATATGCCTCTAAATATTTTAGTGTTTTGTTTTCCTATTCACTAAGTCAAAACAAACTCAGATGTAGTAATTCCTCTAAGCCTGGTTCATAACCTGTCATCGGAATTATTTCTCTTCTAATGATCCAATAAAGCACTCGGTTTTCAGTTGACCTCGTGTTATATACTTTTGAGGAGTCGGGAAATACATCACTACTCTTCACAGTAAGAGTCTGCCTCAAACTCATATTTGTAAACACATATTCTTGCTTCCTGAGTTGATTGCATCATTCGCTTAAAGATGTTGATATCATCTTTGTATAATTAGAACCCTATTGCCCTAGTTAACTAATCGTCTTTGGCGTTTGCTTATTTCTATTTTTTTAAAAGGCTTGCTAGCTCTTAACAGATTCATTTACTGAATGATTTGTTTAACTAAATAAACTAATTAGAAATGTTACAATGCTTAGTTTTATGAAGGCAACCGAATTATCAGAATCATTTAACACCATACAATTGACTAGCTTCTCGTAATCTGTTCCATGGATTTGTATGTATCGTTTTGCCATCTGGCCAAGTATATCTTTGTGCATACTCTGATTGTTCCATTTTATTCAATTCATACTGTTTGATAGGACCATATCCATCTACTTTAATTTCTGAATGTGGATTAATTTGATAGCCTGGTTTACATACACGTAGTTGACCATGATTTGTTAAAACGTCTGATACACAATGACTTGGTTTTGTGAATGTCGAACGAGTTTCTGACTCACCAGGATACTTGATACATATTCCTGCTTGTTCCTGTATTTTCGGGAAATGAAAGTAGGAGAGGATAAGGAAACTAGTTGATTTCAAGTTGACATTTTATACTACTAAAACTGGAAATTTGGTAGTCATATAAAAACTGGGACATTTTAATAATAATAATTCGATAAATAGTACGCTTAAGTAGGAATGCAATGTTTATCGTATGTAAACGTCATCTCGATTATCAACTAACTTGCTATAATAATCTAAACGTCAACAACAAACATAGAAGCTGAAACTCTTGGCCATTCATGGGCTGACATCAACCGAAGCAACATTGAAAATCGAAGCTCATTGTACAGATTTTCGTCCAAGCTGCCGCATCAATAACCCAACAAGCATTGGGAATAAAGACGTTCAGGGATAGCGGTGTAGATGACTAAGTTCAGACCGAACAGTCTGCATTCTTAGCGCCATTCAACTATCACTGAAGCATTGGTGTGACCCCCTACGTCCGATTTGCCCACTTAACATGTTTACCTCCTATACACTGACTAGTGAAAAGACTGAGAAATGACTAGGAAGCTTTAATGGACAAATGTGTCTTAAGTATTTGTAACTCCGTCCTGGCGGTACTGTATAAAGCCTTGTTGATGCAATCTGAATGGGATGCACTCTATTATCGTAAACAGTGGTTGGAGTTGTTGGATGATGTGGTTCGGAAACGGACATAATAGTACGGACGTCCTCATTCTTTGTCCCCCCCTAGATTTCGAGGTTTAGAAATCATCGTATACTTTTCTATTCTACGGATTCATTCTTTCTCAAATCACTTTGTGTACGTGTAATGTTCTCCACTACCATTGACATTGCTGGTACTTTTACTATTATAAACATCTGCTTTGATAATTTCAGCTTATTGTGTTGATACGAGGTGTGTCAACTTAAACCAATGGATATATATCCCATATTCAATGGTACTTATAACTGACCGACTCCACAACAACAGCTAAGTTTATTCAGTATCATACTGTTTTTAGAATGCCAAACTGAACAAATATGTACTCAATGTTTCTTGAACATCGTTGAAAAGTTTAATTAACGAATGTGCCTGGTCTTATGTTGTAGATAACTGACTAAATTAACAAATGTTCAATGGATTACCTGAATCGTTGATGGCCATTTAACTTCATTCTGCTTTGTTTCACAGCTTCTATTTGGTTGATCTGCAGCATCACAAGTTATTTGATTGTAATTGGGAATATTAAATCGTGGAGCAATACAAGGTCTTTTCTCTTGACTAAAATCAGGTTGATCTACCTGTAAGTATGCAAATTTTAATGTTTTCAGATGTATGAAATACAATTCACCATATGGGCAAAATAAATTAATGACCGATTTCATCCCTTTGTGAACATTGAACTCTGGCTTCCTCTATATGTTCAATAAACCAATGTATTATACCGCCATATGAGTCTACGGTGAAAAAGAGAGTGTTACTATTTGTGAATGTAACACTTAAACAGCTATTGTGTCGATGAAAGATACTCGCTTAGGAATGACATGATCTGTGGTGATAGTATAAATTATTACCGAAAATATGCATGATTTGTAACTGATTAGTGGAAATGTAAATGATAATTTGTCCTATCACAGTGGTCATTCGTTTCACAATCCGTTCTTTAGATAGAGTTTGAACTCGTCTATTGAACATTGTGAAGGTTATAGGTATTCAAGCCAATAATTTTCCAGTTTGTAATGTACCTATCCATTCCTTTGTTAAGAAAGATGTTTGTGTTTAAGCTGATTATTCACATACATACACACTTTGTTCCAAGTGATTCTAATTTTTCATCTACTCTTTACTGTAGAAACATTTGTTCACCTAATTACCATGTTTTTATATTCTTATCACTACTAGTACACTTGACATCTTACTACCGACTTGTACCTTCTACAGTTCGTTACGTAATCTGTCCGAATTTTATCAATAACTGAGAAATTCGATAGTTGAATTCATGAATCAATTAAAGCTAGACCTCCATGGAAAACCTAAGAGCGCTGGATGACCGTGCAAATGGTGTGTATATTTTCAAGTATAGGGACTTGATGACTGATGTATAAACCAATAATAAGTAAACTAATAGCAAATTATATACTGATGAGATGTTCCTCCTACATGAGTGAAGTTAGTTCGTATAAAGTCATTAACGCTATAGCTTAGAGTAATAACACGTTCATTATTTTTAGGCCTGTCATGACGCCTACTCTGCTGAAAATAAGTTCTTTACTTTGATTTGGTTATGGCTTTTTCACACGATTTCTACGCCGTGATATTTCCAATATCTCGATTTACAGTATCAGAAGGCATAATGGATGGTTTTAGATACTTGGTGACTGTTTTTGCAGTTATCTATAGAAATGGAATTAAAAATCAAGTCGTACGAGAACTTTTAGAATTCTAAACGTTCACAACTAAAACATTTTTGATACGAAACCGAGTAGCACGTTTATAGCTTTAGAAATATCGTGGTGTGTTTGTCAAGAACTTCTACGAAATAGCAGCACACTTATACAAGTTTCTGAGCAACACTAAGTTTACGTGGACTAGGACTGCCTGAAAAAACGTTCAACCGGATCAAAAACATGCTACACGACCTCCAGATAACTCCCAGATTGCCTGAACTACAGACGCAAGTGATCATGGTATAGGTATCGTCTTTAGTCAATCTGATAGAGTGGTGGAATATACGAGTCGCGTTCTCACATCCGCTGGACAGAAGTATTCAACGATCGAAAAGGAGTGTTTAGCAATCTTGCTGTCAGTAGACAAATAGAAACCGTGCCTTTTAGGTAGACAATTTCACATTGAGACTGACCATAAACCCCTGCAGTGCCTGGAAGCAGCATGTGCTCCCCGTGGGAAGTTGGTGCGATGGATGATACGTCGGCAAGAGTACGACTTCAGTATCGGCCATGTTTCAGGAAAAGAAAACGTAATGGCGGACTACTTATCAAGACCAGACATGGATGCCGAGCTTCCATTGACAACATACCCATTGAATAGTTTAGAGGGAGACACATGAGAACCCGTCCGGCAGCAGAAAGCTGACCCTAAGCATCCAGTAGTAATCAGAGTGATAAAAGTGGGAGCAGACGAACAGTGAACAAGGAGGTAATAATTTTGCTTCGGCAAAAGGGAAGACTGAGAGTGAACATATATGGAGCTTTGATTTGGCAGGACGATGACAAAAATTTGGTGGCTGTGATCGCGAAAGACTGGCGGCGTAAGATGATACATGAATGTCACCAGGTAGCGCATACAAGTATCGCAAGAACGATGGATTTAATACGGCAAAGTGCATACCGGCCAGGCATGAGAGACGATGAGGCCCAAAACGTGTTAACTTACCAGTAGTGCCAACTAATGAAAAGCGATCGATGCACACAACTGCCATTACAGTCAATCACAGTAACCGCAGTCGGTAATCTATGGTCGATGGATGTGATGAGACCGTTTCCACAGACGGCGAGCGGTAACCAGTACCTGCTACTGATGACGGAATATGCTGCACGGTGGGTGGACGCCATACCCATTGCAGAACAGCGGGCAAAAACTGGTAAGCGTTTTTTTAGCGAGTTAGTTTTCTACGGGATGGGGACGCTAACCTCATGCCCAACCCTCCTCCTTTACCCGGGCTTGGGACCGGCAGTAACTCTGGAAGAGCTACAGGCAGAGTTGGGCAAAAACTGACCGAAGTAGTAATCCGGCATATTGTAGTGTGTTACGGAATACCAAAGATGATATTAACCGACCAGGGTCCCTGTTTTGAAATTGACGAGTTCAAAGTTCGTCTAAAGCAGTTTGGTATCAAGAGGATACGAACTACATCGTTTCACCTTCAGACGAACGGGCTTACAGAGAGAAACAACCGGACGTTAAAGGAATGGTTAGCATCTAAAGAGGGAAATCGGAAGAAAGAGTTATCATTGATTTTGCTGGCGCATCGTGCCTCCATACAGTGAATAGCCAAAAAATCACCTTTCCTGCTTATGTATGGTTAGACAGGCACGACTTCCAATACATAATAATACATGGCCACAACAACAGAAATGGGCGACAACAAGGTTAAGAAAAGAGAGGAGGGAGGCAATAAGGAACGTGAAAGAGAAATAAATATCAAACACAAAGAAGGCGAAACAGCAGAGGAGAACGTGGAAAGATTTTGCGGTAGGGGACCTGGTAAACTGTAGAGAACGGAAAAGTAACATAGCAGGAGGACCAAGGTCAGGAAAGCTGATCCCGAATCGGGAAGGAGCGTACATCGTCACAGAGGGACATGGCTCAGTTTACCGGATCCGGAGAGAATACAAGCAGAATCGCGTAAATGCAAGTCAACTGTAGAGATAGTTGCAAGATCATCATGATTGCAAGTCACGAACAACATCAAAGACTGCGTGAACACCATAATAAAAGGGGGAACGAGTGTGGCGTGTGCTACTTATATCGACATAAGTAGTATAGAGTGCTAGTCAGGAATATAATAACTGGCAGCAAAAGATTGAAAAGATCAAGAAGGGAAGAACAGGAACAGAAAGCAATTGGTACAGAAATACAGGAACAATGAAGTCTGACACAATTAATGAACATTTTGCAAGTAACTGTAATTTTGTGCTAAATATATGTTATGCATTTCATTTCACAACTTTATTCTTAAACAGTACAAATGTATCCAGAGAACTTTGAACGTGAAAGTTCTCTCATTCACGACTAAAGAGAAAATCGAACAAATACCAAACTATCTTGAATTGTGTGGTGGATTTTAGTTTTGTTTTCTTTATCCAATATAGGTTCGTACACTTACATTTGGGCCAACCTAGTTTTGTCAGCAATAATGATAGTATCCACCTGATCACATAACAGAGTGGTTCGAACTTCTGACTGACTAAATGAGTTCCGAACCTTTTAGATAACAAAGTACACTTTAATATCAGATGGGTTTTGTGGAGATTGTAGTAATTTCAATGGTTAAGATCATGAGTCAGTTGAAGCTAGACCACCCTGGAAAACCTGGGAGCACTGGACGGCCGTTTCGTCCTATTGTGGAACTCCTCAGGAGGTCGTGGATGCGCACTAAACAATCAATTTGTTTAAATACAAAGAAAGAAATTAGCTTAAAATGATCAATCATAGCAACTAATTCATATTTACTTGTGTATATTTAGTAGAACTGATACAATTTAAATTATTTCTATAACCAATTAATCTATCTGTAACATTCAATTGATTATTTGTCATTTCTATTTGTTGACATGCTACTTCATAAAATGGTTCTAATTTTTGTTCAAATAAATTCAATTTTTCATAAATTTTATATAATTCAAATTGAATCTAGAAAAAAAAAGAATGAAAACGAAAAGAAAAAGAAAAAAAAGTAGGTTTTATTACTTCAAAGAAGAGTTCATAGTACTGTTATAACTTGTGATCGCCGATAGAGAGAGCAGTAACTTGTCGATCGGACCAAAGACGCGTAAACCCGTATGAGCAGTTTAGAGTCTTGATTGGCTCTGCTTTCCGCCTAGCTCAGCCAGTCATGTTCAGAACATCAATCCTAGCCTCTGTAATATGAATCTTTATATTTCAAACATACTGAGTTTATATACCAACCAAGCAGACCACAACGTACCAATAAAATATGAAACAATATTTGTACAAGAATTAGCCAGATGCGGCTGTGAATAAGGGAGGTAGTAATTAATATACTGGGTATAACTCAAGAATGGTAAAACGTATAATAATAGTTTATGGGTCAAAATATGGCTTATAATAAGAGGAATATGAATATGCATAGTTTAGTTACCTAATAATTATACGATAGAAATATACGTTTGGTATTAGTCCATAAAAGGATTCCAAAGTTACCATTCATTATGTTTATCGGAACCTAACAATTACTTATCAGACAAGGTTGCTTATTGTCTCCCTTTCCTTTTCTTTTATTTGTTGACTGAATTATGAAGACGTTGATATGTGAGAGGAAACACGGAATACAATAGACAGTTTGGTATCAATTCAAAGATTTGTACTTCGCAGATGATTTAACTTTTCTATCTCATACACACGAACCAATGCAGATGAACACAGTTAGTTTAGCACCAGTCTCTGCATCAGTAGGCCTCAATATACACAAAGGGAAAAGCTAGATCCTCAGATACAACATGGAGAACATCAACTCAACCACAATTGATAGAGAAACTTTTGAACTGGTGGAATATTTTACGTACTTAGTCAGTGGCATCATCGATGAACGAGGAAGATCTGATGGAGATGAGAAGGCACAGGTTGGCAAAGTGAAGGCTGCATTCCTACAATTGAAGAATATATGGAACTCAAAACAACTTTCAACCAATATCAAAGTGAGAATCTTCAATACGAACTTCAAGACAGTTCTACTGTACGGAGCTACAATTTGGAGAACTACTACAACCATCATCAAATAGGTACAAGTATTTATAAGCAGTTGACTGTGCAAGATACTCAACATCCATTGGCCGGATACCATCAACAAGAGCTTTCTGCGGGAGAGAACAAACCAGGTTCCAGCTGAGGAGGACTTTAGGAAAAGACGATGGAAATGGATAGGACATATATTACGCAAATCGTCAAATTGCATCACGGGGCAAGCCCCAACTTGGAATCCTGAGAAGAAGCGGAAAAGAGGAAGGCCAAAGGACACATCATGTCGGGAAATAGAAACAGATATGAAAAAAGATGAATAAGAACTGGAAGGAGCTGGAAAGGATTGCCCAGGACAGGGTTGGATGGAGAATGCTGGTGTGCGGCCTGTGCTCCTCGACATGGAGTAACAGACGTAAGTAAGTATGTAAGTAAGACATAATTACATTGTTAATGTTCTACATGTCAGGTTTACAGTTTTTTGAAAATATTAACTGTTCAAATTCACTTGGTATTGTTTGACTTGTATCTTCTCATTGAGGTTTAAGACTGCAATTGATTAGTTTGTTATTGGCATATCAGTAGCTGAGTGGATAACTCGATGGCGTTTGAAGCGAATGGTACTGGCTTTGAGTCCCAGAGTGACTAATTAGTTATCCAATTTAAAATTTATTAAATCTTATTTTATAGTTATGAATTAAGGTATTTGTTTTTTCAGTTGTATACATGGGTTGGGGGGGGGATAATATACAGGATCAAATTTATGAACTTTGCATTTTTTTAGTTTCTCCACCTATGAGAAAAACTCTATTCTCAGTTCTATTCACCTCATAAACATTCGCTAACAGATTTTAGTTCATAACGAAGGGTACCATTAAAGTGTATGTTAATCTACATATCTTACTTACTTACTTACGCCTGTTACTCTCAATGGAGCATAGGCCGCCGACCAGCATTTTCCAACCCACTCTGGGCCTACCTTTCTAGTTCTAACCAATTTTTGTTCATTCTTTTCATGTCTATCTCCATTTCTCGACGTGATGTGTTCTTTGGTCTTCCTCTCCTCTTTTGACTTTCAGGATTCTACGTGGGGGCTTGTCTTGTGACGCAGTTGGGTGCTTTCCTCAATGTGTGTCCTACCCACTTCCAGCACTTCTTCCTCCACTGCGATCTAGTTTGTTCTCTCCCACAGTAGGTTGTTGCTAGTAGTGTCTGGCCAACGGACCCAAAGTATTTTGCGTAGACAACTGTTAATAAACACCTGTATTTTCTGGATGATGGCTTTCGTAGTTCTCCAGGTTTCCGCCCCATACAGTAGAACTGTTTCGACATTTGTGTTGAAAATTCTGACCTTGGTGTTGGTTGACAAACAATTGTTTTGAGTTCCAGATGTTCTCCGGTTGTAGATATGCTGCTCTTGCATTACCGATACGCGCCTTCAGATCTACATCAGATCCACCGTGTTCATCAGTGTTGGTGCCCAAATATGTAAAGGCCTCATTTTCAACTCATTAATAATTATTATATTATTTTAATCGTTTATAAATCACAAGTCAATTAACTAACAATCTGTTCTAGTTGATGAACTATTGAGATTTATTAATTATGTCATGTCATGTCTTGTTGTATTTAACGTGTACACTGTTATAACTTGTGACCTGTGACCAATTAACATACAACATAATTATACCGGCAATTAGAAAACAGAGACTTATCAACTAGATTAAGGACACATAAAATCCGTAAGAGCAGTCTAAAGTCCGTATCGATCCTTCTTCTTATCTAATCCTACTTCTTGAGTTCAGAACACCAATCTCAGCCTCTTTAATATGATTCATGTAATTCAAACATACTGAGTTTGTATACAAACTAACCGGACCACATCATTTCATACAATAGAAAATAACATTTGTACAAAATTTGGCCAAATGTGGCTGTGAATGTTGGAGGTAGTGATTAATAAACAGGGCATAATTGAAGAATGGTAAATCGTATAATAATAATTCATAGGTCGAAATAGAGCTTATAATAAGACGAATATGAATATGCATAGCTTAGCTACTTAATAATTATACAATACAAAATATATGTATCGCATTCGTCCATGAATAGGTCATAACTATTCAATATTCACATCGGGATACAACATTTCCCAACCCTATATGTATAGATCATACTCTTCTATAATTAACATGTAATTTTGTGAATTCTAACTTAACAACATGACACGGAACATGGCAACTAGTGAATGTTTCCAACTGATTTTCAATTATTCAGTACCATAGTTAAAACACTTACCTATTACTATGACATTCAAATGAACAGATTAATTGAGGAGTCACTCAAGTGATTATTATTATTATGTTTATAGGATAATAATAATAATAAAAGTAATTGACCAATGAATTAGTTATTCATTCATCTCCTATAAGATTATTGGGTTATATTGTTTTATCTTTATTCTTTCATTTTAATCTAATCAATAAAATATTGTAACTAAACCAATAATTCCCATTGATGTTTACAATTGTTATTGATTAATCTCTCTTATTGGTAATATGTGTATCCTGTACGGATTGCCTTGATATAGCCTTTGAGTTACAAGCATTATATGCAAAGATGAATAGTGTCTAGCAGTGGAATCCAGTTTGACATGTGTGTTTCGTTCTATTTGAAATTCATCAGCTGGGTATACCTGCATCTTCATATACCGATCACTTTAAATGCCATCATGTTATCTACTTAGCTACTGAATTCTGATAGCCACTTGCTTGTCCAACGGAGTGAAGTTGAAATTCACTTGATATTGTTTACTTGAATCTTCTCATTGATATTTACAACTAGTGTGGCGTCAAGTTGCGGTTGACTATGATCACCACTACAGGAAGACTACGTGCCAGTTAACCGATAAGATCCTCCGTAAACCAAATATCAGAAGGCTGTTGATGGCCGTAGTCGAGATGTATTTGTTGGTGATCTCGTGGTTTCGAAAGAATACCGAGATCGTGCCAAAGGAGTACAACTGGAAATACTGATAAAAGTAGGTCACTACATAACTGTAACTGATCAGTCTCTTATTGCCATGTGTGTATCCTGTACGGATAGCCTCGATATTACCTTCAGTAACAAGTATTATAAGCAAGAATATATGATGGCTAGCAGTGGGATCCAGTGTGACATGTGTTTCGTCCTATTCAGAACTCATCAGCTGAATGTACTTGCATCTTAGAGTTGATGTTCACTCTGGGACTAGAACTCAATACCAATAAATAATTAGTGATTTTAAGCATTTATTAGGTATAATATCTAGAAAACTTTCACTTGAAATTGCTACAAAAGAAGCAATGCTAAATTTTAAAACTAGAAATACCTTGTAGTGACTTACTTTTATCAAGAGAACGCTATTGGTTTAATAGAAACAATTATTATTATAACTAATTATACCAGTGATTGTTTTACTGTACCTGTTTGTTTAACTGTACTAAAAACATTCTTCCTTCCGTTGATTGTGATCTTGCACGAACTCACATTTGCTCAGTGTTTCCGCTTGTACTCCTTTGGCACGATCTCGGTATTCTTTCGATACCACGAGATCACCAACAAATATATCTCGCTACAACCTCCAATCATCTTCTAATATCTGGTAGGCAACTTTCTTGTAGTGATGATCATAGTCAAACGCGACTCGACGCCACGCTAATAGATGTAACATCATTAACGACATTTTTTGCTGTTTCCATGCTTACATATGATCAAAATAAAAGCTTTATACATTTCTAAATACATAATCAATAAATAGAATCAGAAATCTGAATGTTTTCTTTATCATATGTTGTAACCTAGCAGTCATGATGTAAATAAAGTTCAGCCCATTGATTTTTTCCCCTTATTTTTCTTGGTTTTTTTTATTGTTCACTAGCAACAAGATAATATAGATGTATAGTTAAGACTGTTATATCCTAGTGATGATTAAATTACGGATAACTTCAGAGAACTATTAATAGACTAATATTATATAACAGTTTAGTAACTAGACCATATATATGTATATAGAAATAAAGTACATAGAGCTCAGTTAATAAAATACAATTTATAATTTGGAAAAAGAAAAAAGTTTTTAAGTTGCAGCGAAGGAATATTTGTCACCAAGGCAGGGGATGATTAATAACTGTCTCATTTTCAACATATAAGCCAGTTTTTAATGGACGTTATTGCTTACTCTTCTACATGAATTAACAGTTTACATCATTCAACTACTAAATCTATTTTGAAGAACAACAACAAAAAAAAAAAACAAAGTTATCAAGAAGAATTGTTTAAGGAGTATGGATTTCAGTACACAGTCTATCATATTATGTAAAGTACACGACAATATTTCATGAGGAATCTCGTTCACTTAAAGAATATTCACAAATGAAACAGTATAAAAGACAAATTATTTACTAAGACAGAAAATGTCTAAAGATAATTACATTACAACACAGTGTTTTTTCTAGTGGTGTTACGTATGCCCAACCACCGACTACCTCGACGTGCGATGTTCAATGATATAGGAGTAGATTGAAAGAAAGCTAAGGGCGGCCAAACCAAAACATGGCACAAGTCCATGAAGTCACTGACAAGTAGACTGAGTCATGTTGGTAGGTGTAGACTACCTGGTTGGGGACCACGAGATGATAGCAACCGATGGTTAGAGACCCTGAATGACATGGCTCAAAATCGTTTGCAATGGCGCAGGTGCATCCACTCTTTGTGTTCTCCCAAATTCTAATCTTCTGAATTCTTCATGTCCTTTTTTTTCTCTTTCCAAATTTATTTCACTGGATTATACTCTTTAAATAACATCTTCAAACCTTAATGTTTCCGATTACTGCTTATACTCTTATTACCTCTACCACTACGGGATTTGAATTGACAATTGCATCTCTGTGCTAGTGTGGTATGGCAACTCGAACTGATGTACGCACGTACGAAGTTCTACTATGTTACTGACTGACTATTAAATTTATTTACACTGTTACTATACTATACTACTATGTCTGTAACATAACTTCAAACCGAACCGTCTCATCTAAGTAATTTAAACCTATTATATAATTGTGACATATAAATATCTCAGGTTGTAAGCAATTGACAAGAACCAAGAGTAATGAAATGAATTCAGACCATTCTCTTAGAATCTTTATTCCTAATCTTTTCAAAACAGTAAACATTAAATTTAACTTACAGTATTGTTCTCTGTTATTTTTGTTATATTGGCAATTGAAAATTGATCTTGTAATTGTTTTAATAAGCAATGACCTTGAGATATTAAATCCGCAAAGTTCAACTTCGATGGATTATTTTTTATATTATCTATCAAATAATTTGCTGTTTTAATAATACCAAATTTATAAGATAATCGTCTTAATAAAATCATTAATTCCGGTGTTGTTATAATAATATTTAATTGATTAGATACTTGATTTCGTTTTAAATAATCATCGATTGATAAACATTTTAAATCATTCAATTGATGATATAAAGTATCCATGACACTTTTAATGAACACTTTGATTAAACAATAAGTTGGTTACAAGATGATGTAATCATGGTGTTGTGTTTTCCTTTTAGCTTATATATGCAAAGAATGAATTTTGTACTTTATTATTGTTTTGTTTCTAAGGGATTGTTTATTGAATGGGGGTGATAGGGATTTATGTTGAAAAGTACTTAACAAGTACATTAGATATATAAGAGAACTTTGGAAAGGATACAAATCATCTGATTATACGGAATAAGCAAGGTAGTATGATAGACAAAGTATCTTAATTGATCATTTGTTATCATATGGTAGTTAATAATGTGAACAATAGAAACAGTTTAAAGATATTTCAAAGATATAAAAAGGAATAGAGTATTATTTTTTAGGATTTGATTATTTCATATTGATATTCATTGATATAGACTGATCGGTGCTGGGTTCGAATCTTGCGAGGCGGGATTGTGTATGTGTACTGCTGAAGAATCCCACAATAGGTCGAAACGACTGTCCAGTGTTTCCATGTTTTCCATGGTGATCTACCTTTAATTGACTCATGATCACAACGATTAAAATTAATATTTTATTATTTCACCATATAAACATCCTACAAGGAAGTATTCAACTTGTGAAGGTATAAGCCAGTAAGAAAATATAGTAGTGAGAATGTTTTAACAAATTGTAGTACTGTAGTACACGAGAACACAAGTGTGGACTAGTGGAATGTATTTCAACATAAAATCACATAATCTCTTAATAAAATCTGAGAACAATACAGTAAATAATTCATATACAAAATGTCATTCAATCGTCTCAAACTATAATGTTCCTTCATTTCCACAACAATCATTCTTTGTTCTCGTTCTTTACTTTTCCATCTTCTTAACCTTCTGCTTCCAAGCATTTCACTTCTGATTGATGATACATACTACTTATATCTGTCGACATCCGTAATACACATCACAGTATATGTTAAATGATAATAACCAGGAAAAATACTGAATTTATCATTTAAGATGTAAATATACTACTGGAAAATGACATCAAAAATGCAAAGAAACAACTGGCGAGACTCTAATTTATGGATGAGCCAATTAGAAGCATTTCAGAGATTTCAAGGTTACGGTGCCAACTTCAGTGTTTATGGCTAAGGTACGATCGGTTCACAGATCATTTTATACAAAACGTGATAATTTAGCGGTTATAATAGATAAAATGGCAACACTTTTATTTGTGGATAAACCAATCAGGTATAAGATAACAGATCTCGGATTTTAACGCGAAAGCCTTTCATCCATTTGGCTAAATAGATTTCTGGCATTATAGCTGATGTCAGTTCGTGATGAAAACCCCATATATAATTCCTAACTGAGGCAAATTATGACAGTTATTGCGAACTGGATAATAAAAGTACCAGTAACACTGGCTGCAGCCAGGTACTACAATACATAAGGATGATTGGAGAGCGTACAGACTCCTACGTAGACTTGATTATGTGCATCGTGTCGTTAACCACAAATGGTATTTTGTGTACTCAACAACCGGAGTGCACACAAACAATATTGAAGCTATGTAGTTGAGGCTGAAAGAGTCTTTGAGACTTTATCATGACTCCAGAGGCCGATTAATCTGTAGCCGTATGGATGATTTCCTCTACTGCATGCGTTACAATTTCAGAACCTCTGAACGTCTTTCTAACCTTGACGAGTTTTTGAACCATGTGTAAGAAGTGTATCCACTTTATTTCTTTGGTTTTGTATAACATATTTTTAATCTATACTGACTGTTTGCTGATTGACTAATATTTCTCAAGGTTACTTAAGATTCGTCCAAAGGTCGTCCATAAATTACAGTCTCGCCAAACAATTTTGATTGAATTCGTGATTAAGGAATCTTTCTTTTATTAGAATATAAACTTCAATAAATTAATTCAAAGTCTTTTTTTTCTATCCTTTATCTTTGATCACATGGCATCAAATGAGTTTTAATTTAGTTATTTCTATTCGGTACAATTAAATATTAAAGTTTTTTCTTGTCAAGACTCAGTTCCTTTGGTTACTAGAAGGTTTTAGTTGATCTTGGTGTATTTACAAAATTACTGATGATGTATATGAGAACAATGATTGGAGAAATGACAAGTCCAAGAACCATTGAATAGATCATTATTATTGTATAATTACCCCCTGTTAAGTTTGTCTTACATTGTTCCTACTTGTTCTATTTCTACTCTTTTGTATATTGTCTTATACTACTTATTTACATTCAGTAAGCAGTTGTATTACCGAAAATATTCACACTTATGTTGTAACGCAAGTTGTAGTGTAATCTTCTGAAATGTTCACACATACGTATAACGTTTATTTTACTCATCATTGTATTTATAATTATAATTACTGTATCTTAATCGCTGTAGCCGTTATCCACAGTTTTGTGCATTTGTTTAAACACAACAGTTTCCATATTGTTTGATCTTGGTTCGGGTTTCGGTTGTTCGTAAACTGTTATCAAATTTAGACACAGCTATCAGCTGTCCTTTGTACTATCGTATGTTATATTTATTCTTTATGTTATTCTCACAGGAAGCCTTTGTTATTTTCATTCTTGAAGGACGCGTTTAAACGCCTAGACACCTCACAAGTTGAGGTTTGTAACTTAATTTTGTGTATTATTTATTAAAGAACCGCTTTTGTAGACAAATCGTTGTTTTGGAACTTCGATTTTGCGCGTATCTCAATCGGAATTACTCAGACACTTCGACAGAATGAACACGCCCAAATAATTGGAATATTATACTTCGATATTCAGTTTTGTGTAAGATTTTGTTTGACTTTAATCATCTATATACATCCAATTATTGTTAATTAATAATTTACAGCTTGTTTGATTCACTGACTTTTTTGATCGGTTTGTGTATAACAATAGTTTTCTCAGAAAGAGTTTTGTAGAGATATTTCAGTAACTTCAATAGTTTCAGTTAGATATCAACATTGGTGGATACCAGCTCAGTGGTTTAATGGTTAAGCTCTCGCGGGCGAGAGTGATAGGTCCTGTGTCTGGATCTGGCGAGGCGGTATCGTGGATGCGCACTGATGAGGAGTCCCATACTAGGACAAAACGGCCTTCCAATGTTTCCGGGTTTTCCATCGTGGTCTAGTTTCAATTGACTTGTAGTGACTCACGTTTATCACGAGAACACGACTGGTTTAATAAAAACAATTATTATTATAACCAACTGTACCAGTGTTTGTTTTAACGTGCTTTTGTTTGACTGTGCTAATGACAGCTATTTTCTGCTTCCATTCTTTCGCTTACACTTTGATTGTAACTTCGCGCGAATTCGGTTACCTTCTGTAACCACGATCGTATCCTGGCACGATCTCGGTATCCTTTCGATGCCACGAGATCGCCAGCTAATAAACCTTGACTTGGTCCATTAACTGTCTTCTGATATTTGGCTTCTCGGGGATTTTATGGAGTCATTTGGAACGAGCTTCTTACGCCTTCTGATTCGCTTGGCACGTGTTTCTTGGTAGCGGTGTTCATAGTTAATCTCAACTCGACGCCACGCTACAATTGGTAATCCCAATTCGAATACAATTGGTGATCCCAAAGTTTAGAACACGCCTCAACTTCTGATCAAATCTTCCAAAGAAGCCAATTCGGTGAGTCTGTGATTTAGCTATCCACGTCTGTCGTATATTTTCATGTTTTTTAGTATATAATATACGCGACATGACGGATAACGATAAAAATAGTATTAATATAATAGACTCACACGTATGTGTACCGAATCCTTGTCACTTTTTATTCGCGTGATGATGAATTCCACGCTTTATTCGAGAAATGTTGCCCTATTAACGATTCTCCTCGCTGACCCGGCTGCTTGGTACGGAATGTACACGCATAAGCATATCCGTCTACCACCCAGCACCAAATGGTTAAGTTGAACGGTTTCACTGCCAACTTAAAAGTGTTCTACGAGCACACGAAAACGGCAACTGGCACGAAACCATACCGCTCGTTCTTTTAGGGGCGAGAACGAGCTTAAAGGCAGATATCCAATGTTCCGCCACTGAATTTGTATACGGCACGACATTGCGTCTGCCCGGAGAATTCTTCACACCACGGAGCAGACCTAATTTCGGTAAATCAGACTACGTCCATCGACTGTCTGCATTTATGCGAACGCTGTCTCCGGTGTCAACTCGAATACAACATCGACAGGTCGCTCTCCCTCGAGAGTTATCTACCTGTTCACATGTTTTTGTACAAGTAGATTCGGTACGCAAACCTTGGCAACAACCTTACGAAGGCCCTTTTCACGTGATCGCTCGTCACGAAAAGACCTTCAAGGTTGATCGATATGGACGCGTCGAGATCGTCAGCATTGATCGTCTCAAACCAGCACACGTCGATGACAGTGCCCTATCTGACACCCTGAGATTCAATGCTAGACCTATCAAACCTAGCGGGATCCTTAAATCTTCTTCAGGTCCCACGCTAGATGCATGTGAGACCTCATTCTCACGTCCCGGTCAACAGCACGCGTCATCTGCACCGTCTACGGACGAGACGACAGTCTCACGTCCAGATCAGCAGACCACGCCGCCTCTGACCTCGGATGAGATTGCAGGCTCACGAAATACGAACGAGACTGCCGTCTCACGTTCCGGTCGCCGAGTACGGTTACCCGTACGCTTCCGCGAATAGTCGCACAGTCAACTACCGATACGGTGTAGGATTATTCCTATACTACACGTATGCTACACTCTTCTTTTTTTGATTTTCTTTTTGTTTCCTGAGCCCACGCCTTCGACCATCTCCGTTTGGTTCCGTCGACTTCAGTCAACTTTGGCGAAAGCTGGCCTGATCACCCATGCTCTTGTCAACGCACTCAGTCGATATATTGGTTTCGAACGCTTGGCACACGCTTGGTCACGAACTTGGTCGTAACGGTCGCTTCTGGTCTTTCGGCTCAACGTGGTTTCGTCCTACGTCTGCAGCGTTTCTGGTGCGCACCTCTACGAACGCCCTCTTCAGATTCTGGATACAAACCACTCTGGTGTAGCATGCCAACTCAAGCAATAAATACAACACATCGCTCCTGGTACCGTTCTCCGATAACGACCTTCGTTGGCAACTCGACGATCAACGATCGCTTTCCTGTTCGCCAATTCTTCCGTCCTACAATCGCTCGTCAGCCGATCAGTCCCACGATTCAAACCGCTATTTATCGAAAGTGTAAACCCTTTCTAGCGGGGGGCTCCTGTAGTGACTCACGTTTATCACGAGAACACGACTGGTTTAATAAAAACAATTATTATTATAACCAACTGTACCAGTGTTTGTTTTAACGTGCTTTTGTTTGACTGTGCTAATGACAGCTATTTTCTGCTTCCATTCTTTCGCTTACACTTTGATTGTAACTTCGCGCGAATTCGGTTACCTTCTGTAACCACGATCGTATCCTGGCACGATCTCGGTATCCTTTCGATGCCACGAGATCGCCAGCTAATAAACCTTGACTTGGTCCATTAACTGTCTTCTGATATTTGGCTTCTCGGGGATTTTATGGAGTCATTTGGAACGAGCTTCTTACGCCTTCTGATTCGCTTGGCACGTGTTTCTTGGTAGCGGTGTTCATAGTTAATCTCAACTCGACGCCACGCTACAATTGGTAATCCCAATTCGAATACAATTGGTGATCCCAAAGTTTAGAACACGCCTCAACTTCTGATCAAATCTTCCAAAGAAGCCAATTCGGTGAGTCTGTGATTTAGCTATCCACGTCTGTCGTATATTTTCATGTTTTTTAGTATATAATATACGCGACATGACGGATAACGATAAAAATAGTATTAATATAATAGACTCACACGTATGTGTACCGAATCCTTGTCACTTTTTATTCGCGTGATGATGAATTCCACGCTTTATTCG